ATGATAATTATCTATGCATCCAGCAGATTCAAACAAACATTTTATGATACTTAATTTTAATGATATTAATCCTCCAGGCTGCTAATTAATAGATATCCACAGAGTTCTTCTGTTATGTTAATTTGTAATAGAAATAGTTTGAATATGAGATTAGGCACCGCCGCACATCGTAATTTAAGATGATATCACTTACACATTATTTATATTTTTGAGTCTATGTAGAATTAAGTTGGAGGATTGCTATCAATGCTTTTGTTATTAAGTATATTAAATACCTTATAAATTGGGCATTCACTGTAATATGAGAATGAGGTTCTAGATCTAAAAAAATCCTACTATAATAGAAGACACAGGTATCGAAATTAGAACTACCTTCCCATCCTAATATAAATAAAGAAATTACCATCTTTTGTTTAAGAATTAGCATTAAACTCATAAATTATAGTCTGACGAGTTATAGATATTAAAATGAAGATTATTATCATTATTAATGAATATCAATAAATTTTATATTGATTAAATCTTAATAATTCTATTAACTTAATCAGATTATATATAATTTATCTGAAACATCCATATAAATTGAAAGTTTATGATTCTTAGTACATAAAAGTTCTTTTTATTTTCTAAATTAATTACATAATCAAAATTATATCTTTAACTCTCATTATGTTTCAATTCGAAATAGTATTTCAATAAATGTCAATTAAATCTTGATGAATAATTAGTAGCTACTTATATAAACAATTACTCCTACTAGAATTTAATCTAAATTTAATGTATACCTGTTCAAAACAATTATTTAAAAATTAAATGACTTTTTGCGAACAAAGAAATGACCAATTTCTTAAATTATTAATTTGTGATTTTGATCTAATTTAAGGTTTTTTAATTTTAAAAAAGTATCTAAGTAAAAAATGACAAGCAGTGAGTAAAGAAAAATCTTAAAATTAAAGCAAATTAATTGAAAATTGAAACTCGACAACCAAATCTATTTTAACAATACTAACAAGTTTAAAAATCATTTACTACAGGTTGTAAGGAAGGGGTGAAAGTTGAATTTTTTTTCATTTATATTATGATAATAAAATTATAAATTTTAAATCTACATCACAACCCAATCTTAATCTTCTTTCTCTAGTTTATCAATTAAGAATTGCTAAGTCTTTATTTCTTTACTACATCAATAAAGGGAATTCTTATAAGAACAGATTTTTTAACAATGTTTTCAGAATTTAGTGCCATGAATCGGAGTAGTTTAAAAAGAATTAAGTTAGAGTTAAGGTTTCTTAACCATATAAATATTTAGACGGTAATATATTATCACGCAGAATATTGACAAAACTCACCAATCTGACTCTACATATTAAAACAAATAATTTCTTGTTTATTCTATAAATTTGGTTTTACTTAAATAGCTTTAGATTCAACAAAAATAAGGTAATATAAATGATTGATTAATTATATTGTCTAAATCTACTCAGAGAAATTATCTTCAGGAATATTCAACAGAAATTTTAAAATCTATATTCAAATTCAATCGAAATCATGCGAAATCAAGCGAAATCAAGGTTATTCTTAAGCTTAAAGCATTCAATTTTTACATTTGATTGCCCACCCACAGCAAACATAATCTATTTAGATAAAATTTAATAACTTTGTTTTGGAAATTATAACAAACCAAATATTATTTATTCAGAGCTACCTCAACACTTCAATTCTATGGCTAAATTAAAACATTTTTGTACTATCCAATATAATTTTATCTTTTGTCCATCCTTAGATTTATTGTGACAAATACTATTATATATCTTTCACATGAAATGCGAAGATGTGAAATGAAAGAATAATGAGTTGTTGTTTGAATTTAATGAAATTAATTTTTATTTATTCATAAATCTGTTTATATAAATTTTAACCTAAAAGCATATGTTTTAGAAAAATAGAGTGTCATTTAATAAATAATTTATTTTTTAAAAAGCTAATAATAGTTTGAAAATGCTTGTTAATTTGTCTAGAAATTACAGAAATGTAGAAATTGGAAGATTATCTTTTTATATCTGCAATTTAATAAGGGAATTAATTTTGAATTCATATAAAAGCATAGTTAAGAAAGATTTGATTATTTTTATATTCAAAATAAAGGTTAGAAATATCTCAGGTTTTTCATAAAAGTAAAGTAATATTTGGATGAATAACAACCAAATTTACAAGTCATCAAAGAATTTATGATATATCCATTGATGCAAATTGTAAAAATTGATGAATTTATGAAAGAATTGGATTACGAGTTTTGAAAAGAAAAAAAATGTTCTTAGGAGAGTATATTAAATCTTCTTAGGAGATTGTAAAAAGGGCTGAGTCTGATGTTCTAAAAACTTATTAATTATTTAAACAAGTAATTACATATATATTTATAAAGCTCAATCTGTAAATTATATTGAAAATCCTACTAATTTAGATTATATTAAAACAATAGATATGTAGGACCTTTTCTATTTACTTCATTACCGAGTGGATCAATTTTACAATTGGAAATGCTGGGCCAAGACCAGAACCTGAGAAAAAGTGAAATTTAATATTGACTAACTTAATGAACCAAAATATCACAAGAAAAGAATTAAATTTTTTAACGCTTTAGAATGGCGGGGAAATTTATATTATTCTTTAAAAATTTAATTTGACTTGCATTTTAATTTTAAAGATGAAAAAGCTATAAAATCTTTAAAATGATTTATATATAAAAACAAACTAAAAAAGCTTACTTCTAATTGTTAAGTTTTGTTTGCTAATCTCAAAGCAACCTGTAAGGGATCAAATAGCTATAAAGAGGCAATTTTTTATAATACTTAACTAAAACTATTTAGAATGCCAGCTAGTTGTGCCTAATTTAATGATATATAAATCATATTAATCTTGGGTCTGAAAAATAATCATATTAATTAATAAATTTTGGATTTTTTAATTGGATAGTTATGCATTCTTTTCAAAATGTCTGAAAGTAGAATTTATAAAGATAATTAAATTTTATTGGCAAGTATAATATATGATTGTAGAACAAAACTGAATTTTAGATAAATTCAAAGTCTCTTAATTTGATCAAAATTGGAGAGGAAGGTAGAGAAGCGAAGCAGATATGCTATGATGGAGTGTTAATTTTAGAAATATTAATTAAACATGAGGTTTATTAAATTTAGCCTATTATGACTACTATAATAATTCATTTCCTAAGTACATTTTTATTTGTTATGCAACAAACTCCCTCCTAATATTCCTTTAGAATAGTCCATCTAATCTGCTAAAAATCAATGCTAATGACTATAAATGTTCCATTTAAAAGGTAACTTAATTATAAATTACTTTAGAGAGGAATTAACTTATTGCATTAGGAGATAGCATCTAGAAGTTATTGATGGAAGATAAAAAATGATTAAGTTACGATTAGATAAAATATTAAACTTAAATAGTAAGCCTATAAGATCTACATAATAACTCAAGATATTTTATTGTTTCCACGAAAAAATTGGTTTTAATCTAATTTGAATAAAATCTATCGACATTAGCTAATTAACGATGACATACAAATTTCAAATTTATAATCGTTAGGGCAAGAAGTTGCTATTATCTGTTGGCTTCTAAAATATCTATCATTAAATATTAAAATATAGATGAGTGTATAATGATTGTACTAAATTATGAGGATCAAATTTCAACTTCAATTTGGAATGCCACAATTATGACTACAGATGGCAAATATTTAATCATATATGATTTATGTCATCCTTGATGCATATTTTGGAGTTAAAACATCAGTGTTGAAAAATCAAGAATTAATATTTTTCATATCTATTATATTTTCAAGTTTTTGTTGAAAGATAGATGAATTAGTTTAATTATTAAAAACTTAATTTTTTAGCCTAATCAAAAAAAAGAACAAGATTGTTTTTGACCTATATTTGATTTATTTCGGCTTATCCTGGCTGGCTTTAATTCATGATTACACTCTAAGTACTCTTTATTTAGCAAGTAGTTAGCCTTTACTTGACATTTAAAATAAATAACTTTAAAACTAGGTTTGAAATCTATTATTTTATGGCATACTTAAGGAGAATTTATTAAATTATAGTAAGGATCTAACTTTTTAAAATTGATATTCAACCAACCGCGTATAAATTATCGTATTTAGATTTTAAATTTATTTATTATATAAATAAGCAGTGTGATAAATTTTTATAAAACTTAAGGAAAATATGTAATTGATTGATTGGAAAGTTACTACTAAGGTTGAAATTAAGAATTTTTAAATTTTTGGATCAAAATTACATAAATCAAAGATTTTAAAATAATATCATGACGGCTGAACTTTGAACTAAGCAAGAACAAAATAAATCAATCTTTATATCTAGCCTCATCCTGTTTATTTCATACCGTAATTTCAACTTTTAAATATCTTCAATAACATCCTTACATATTTAGTCGAAGAAAACTCCTATCACTCCTATAATCTTTCAACATCTTTACTCTTCAATTAATATTGTTAGTTATCCAAAATTTTTTCTAAGTTGGTCAATTAATCTACCTTTAAATGTTTAAATATATAGTTCCTTCATATCAGATGGTGAAAACATCTCTTATTTTGAGAGCCTTAAATTTGGGAGCTTTAATTGATTCCTCTCTGTAAATCTTATACCATAATTATTCTTTTTTGTCTCTGACATCTATTATTGTTATGATTAATACCTCAATTACAAACCAAAAAGTTAATATAGTCTAAATCATCTGCTTTTAAGTAAGCCTAAGCCCCTAAAAGAAGGCACTCAAAATTTCACTCCTTTATAATGACACATTGTCAAACATTAAATCAAAATAGGGATTCCAATATATTTGGGAACAAAATCTATTTTCTAATTGGCGGTTGGTTGGATTTAATTATCAAAATTAATCAGCTACCAAAGTATATCGTAGATAGAAAATCTCATAAACTAATTAGATTATTGATTAACTCTAAAATTCAGAGCAGAATTCAAACATTACTC